GCTGATTAGGCTTGGGATAAAGAAAAAGCATGGTAATTGCTTACTTGTCTCCTACCAGTATTTGTTCCACCACTAATGGCTGAACGGTTCACCAGATTCTAATTATGGGCATAAGTCACTATATTAACTCTATCAAAGAAATATGTTTTCCATGTAATTTAAAATTAAGAAAGCTTATTAAGAAAATTACATCAACTTGACTTTTCTGCAAACCTCTTTGGTCTTCATAGCAGCTTGATCCAAAGTCAATAACTTTAACTGAACCTTGGCCTTTGTGGTATAATAGTATGTTCTCCTAAAGAGAAAAAAACATCACAGGGAAAAGTGGGTTTTAACAACACATTAGGTTAGTGGACACTTTGGAAAATAAGCAATGCATAACACATTAGGTTTACACATATCTGCATAATAAAAACTTTCAAGTACAGCTTCCTTGAGAATGCATTTGCTAACATGAGTAGGCATCCAATAACGTGCAATTAACTACAGCAGATGGGAGATCTGTAAAGGTACTCAGTTTGAAAGTTAGCTAGACAGGGATACTAGTCCCTCACGTACAATCCAAACCACTGCACTGTAGAGTGTGTGGTGCTATCAAGGCACCAGCTGGGGAGAATGCTTGCCACGTGAGCATAGTGAGCTCCCCAAAACTCACTGTTGTTAATCTAGTAAAAGGCAAACCGCATCTGGTTACATGCTGTGCTAAATTAACAAGAACCATCTTTTTGTAACCACAGAAAACCCCTGCCCCATGAACGAGTTGTACTTCACATTTCTTCCCTCCACTGCTTTCAGCTTTGCCCAGACTCTCTGTAAGCATCTCTCTCCACCTCACAATGTGTGATCCAGAGATCCCAAGGTAGTGATGAATGGAAATGGTAGGCCCCTATGGATTATTAGGTGGGTGAAGATGGGTACAGCTCTGTGTGCCTACAATTGCACCTTGGGAAGTGATTCTCAAACAGCTAGCTAGCTAGCTCAGGAATATTTGCACTGATGAGTCAACATAGCCTATTAGCTCTCTTCTACAGAGCTGAATTTTACCCTCATTATAAATCTGTCTAAATTAAGAATTTCTTTTGATTTCCTTTCTGATCATGCAGTGTTTTCCACTTCTCAGCAAAGAGGTGGCTACCTTTATCAACCAGTTTTAAAGTGATCTGATGACAAAGCTTTGAAGGACTGAGCAGTTCCTAGGTTGATGCCAACTCATGATGAAGAAGTTTCTTGGATAATTAAAAGTAATTTCCCACTGATAATTAAAGTAGTTTCCCACTGTAAGGGAAGATCAGTTTCGTGACCACCTGAGGAACCTGAACACACATAAATCTATGGGACTTGATCAGACACATCCCAGAGTCCTGAGGGAACTGGCTGATGTCATTGCCAAGACACTCTCCATTTGAAAAGTCATGGCAGTCAGGTGAAGTCTCTGGTGACTGGAAGAAGGGAAACACTGAGGCCATTTTTAAAAAGGATAAAAAGGAGGACCCTGGGAACTACTGTCCTGTCAGCCTCATCTCTGTGCCCGGGAAGATCCTGGACAGGTCCTCCTAGAAGCTATGCTAAAGCACATGGAGGAAAGGGAGGTGATTCAAGAGACCCAGCATGGCTTTAACAAGGGCAAGACCTGCCTGACCAACCTAGTGGCTTTCTATGATGGAGAGACTCCACCAGTAGACAAAGGAAGAGCAATGGATGTCATCTATCTGGATTTCTGTAAGGCCTTTGGCACGGTCCCTCACAACATCCTTCTCTCTAAATTCAGGAAATACGGATTTGATGGGTGGACTGTTAGGTGGATGAGGAATTGGTTGGATGGTCACATCCAGAGGGTAGTGGTCAACAGCTTGATGTCCACATGGAGATTGGTGACAAGTGGTGTCCCTCAGGGGTTCATACTGGTACCAGTGCTGTTTAATATCTTCATCAATGACATAAACAGGACTGAGTGCACCTCAGCAGATGACACCAAGCTGAGTGGTGCAGCTGACATGCCAGTGGGACAAGATGTCATCCAAAGAGATCTGGACAAGCTGGAGAAGTGGGCCTGTGCGAACTTCATGAAGTTCAACAAGGCCAAGTGCAAGATTCTACAGCTAGATTGGGGCAACCCTCAGTATTAATATAGGCTTGGGGATGATATGACTGAGAGCAACCCAGCAGAGAAGGACTTGTGGGTCCCGGTAGATGAAAAGCTGGACATGAGTGAAAGAGGTGATTCTGCCCCAATACTCCACTCCAGTGAGACCTCACCTGGAGTACTGTGTCCAGCTCTGGAGCCCTCAGTACAAAAACACAATGCAAGGGAGCTGATAAACTGCAAAACCAGGTTCTGGAGGCAGTGATTACCTAGCGTGAAGTCCAGAGAAACTCCATACTCTACCTTATGTAGAGAAATATCATAGGTGGCAGATGGAATAACAGACTGACTTTCAGGCAACACAAATTAAATTAATGAAACTGTACAATTGTAGATTGAGAACAAAATTCTCTTTCAGTGAACTCATTGAATGTTCACTAATATGTAACTCTATTTTAATACAGACTATGCTTATTGATCTTTCCAACTTAATTCCTTGTCAGTGACTGCCTGTAAACCATTTTCTATAGGGCCAATTGTTTCAAATTAAGATATTGTTATTATCTTGCAAGCCTTGACTTCTTACTGCAAATTGCTCTGGCAAAGATGTTGGCAAGACAATGGGTACAGACGGCATGTGAGTCTTCAGAGTTCTAAGTCTAGATACATCAAGCAAAGTGAGAGCAGAATTTCATTATGAGCATTTTTACTTGAGAGCTGATTTATTTGTTTATTTATTGGCTCATTTTCAGTTTTGAAAAAGTATACAAGAGAAATGATTACCTGAAACAAAAATAGAATTAAAATACATTCTCAGAAAATGGCAAAAAAATTAAGATTGAGGATTAAGGAGAATGGAAATGTTTCACCTTGCATGAATGTTTAGCAGATATAGAAGCAGGAACTGGAACACAGATGTTCTCCAGAAACAGGTGAGCACTCTTATTACAGTACCATAGATTTGCTTTCTCACTTATTAGGCTACTTATTAGCCAGAAACAGGCTGCCTTGTGAATATCTTATTGCATTATAATGCCCCTAATACTGAAATACTTAATTTCACACGTACTTTTTTCTTTCTCTATGCAAAAATTCATTACTTGAATTTGATCCATATTTGCATATATTTTGGCAATCAGAAAATCATGTATAATACTGCGGTGAATGAACTGAGTCAATGGAAGGGATCACTCAACTGTGCTAATATAGTCTGAAATAAATTATAGCTTCTCTACAAATATGCTACTGGCTTTTAAGGATTCTTCTGAAAGTTCCTTTTGATAAAAAAAAATAGGATTAAGCTAATATATTCTGTACAGAATAACAGGTTATGCAATGACTGTACTTACAGGCTTCAGATCACAGTGAATTATTCTTTCCTGGTAGAGCACTTGTAAACATCTCAGCACACATTGAGTGAAGTGTCGAATTAAAGACAAACTGAAACCTTGGAAATTGTTCTTTTTGATCAACTCATACAAATTTATTCTGCGGGGGTTGTAAGGGTGGAAGAAAAAGACAGAAAACAGAGAAGAGATTACGGAACTTATTTTTAAAGACATAATTAGTTTACAGTGCATTAAGAGAATATTTAGCCTGTCTTCCTACAGGAGGGACGACTCATACAGAAGAAAATTAGTTATTTTACTCCTTGAGAATGCTGTTCTGCATGTAATACACATGAAAATCTCCCTGAGCCCTGATCTAAAGAAGGAATAATGTCCATGGACTTGCTTGCTAAACTTAGTGCTGTGTTAAGCAGCTGTGCTGATTTTCACCAAGAACAACTATCATCAGGAGCTGAGAGTAATAAATTTTCTTTAGTCTGTTTTCGCTCTCATCTGTCCTTGCTTTGGTACCTTGTGTAAATCCTTTTAGTCTAAAGAGTCTTTAACCAGCACTAAATCTTTCCAGATAAATGCCCTCATATATTCAGGTCTTGTTTGGTTTTTATGACCCTCCTGCCACCATCATATCTTAGCTCTTTCCAGTACGGCACTAGACAATGTTGCTAAATTCTGCCAAGCATTGCTGGCAACTTGTGAACGCTGTCCTGAGATCCCGAGGGCACCACCAGCCCTGATTGCCCTGCCCAGTAGCTGGGAGTTCCCTCACCCTGCTCAGAACCCAGAACCTCATGTCAATCCCCTGGGGCCCTCGGCCCCTGCCCAAATGATACACAGCAGGGTCAGTCTATAGCTTTCCAAAGCCCTGCTATAGGCCCCTAAAAGCTGGAGTCACCCATGGGCTGTCTTGACCAGCCCTCAGCCTGTCCTGATCCTCATGGAAGTACATGATGGGGCTGGGGCTTTTTGGTTCTCTAAACCCTAATCCTAACCTTAATGCTAATCTTAGCTGGACCTTGGGGCTGAATCTGAGGTCCTCAGCACTGTGGGAGCTCTAAATGTGAAAGATTTTGAAGGAGTCATGTTTGTATAGTTCAGAGCTTCCCTTGGCATGCATTTTGCAGCCCCAGTGTCCCCAGAGCTGTAGGCTTTGTGATTCTGTTAACATTTAACATTTTCCTTGCCTGCACTGTGCCCTGAGAAGTACTGTGTGCCGAATGTATGGTCATTCTTCAGAGGAGGGGATTGTCACACGGATGATGGCAATTGAAGGGATGCACAAGCATGTCCACATCAATATGATTTCAAGAGGTGCCTTCTAGGAGGACCACACACCTCCGCAATGACATAAGCAACTGCAGTTTTCTGTCTTTCCTGCTTGTTTGTCCACTGCCATCAGACAAGGTTCATTCCTTCTGAAGTAAAATAATCTACCAGGACTTTATGGAAAGGTTAGTTCACAAATTAAGGGGTTTTCAATGAACTTTATATACAATAAAAATTTCACTAGAAAAAGTTTTTCTATCACAACCAGTCTTCAACCTTTCTGTAAAGAGCTGGACATACTGGCTATCTCATGAACATTTTGCTATGTGTTCTCATATCAGCTTTCTGAAGGCTGGTCTGTGTTTTCCTTAGAGACAAGGAATCTCCTTGTGTCTTATCCCATTGTGTCTCTGTGTGACAGACTCATGTGCAGCAACATAATGAATTTAGGTCTGTTTGAGATCAAGCTTTTTGTATGATGATAAATCCTCAGCAAGGGCTGTAACATGTTCAGCAATGGGGCTTTACTTTAAAGGATGGGTAACTGTAGGTAACACCTGTAATTTCAGTTTGCTGCCCTAATTACAAGAAGGGTGGTGAATAAAATAGTTTGACTTCCCTAAAAGGTCTCCAAAATTCCTCTGAAGATATGTCCTACAGCATGCATTTATAGCAAGCAAGAAACAGATGTACTATTTAATTATTTAATATTATTCATATTTATATACTCTGAAGTCTACTTAGTCCTGAATTTATTGTTTTACTCTTTTCCCCTTAGGTCTTTCAGGAAGAAGGCTTCAAAACACAGCAGAGAAAATAAGGGATGGATCATGTCACTGCCTGTGTGAAGTCTGAATGGGGCCTTTTTCAGTTCACGTTTGGTGACCAAAAACTCAATTATGCAGTCTGTATTTAGACAGTATTCCTTTCTTGTAACATTAAGAGAAGCACATTCTTCCAAAGCAGGCATAAAACTTAAAGCTTGTAAGGCACAAGATCTACAATGCTTCTTAAGATTTGTGTAAAGGAAAATATACTTTACCCCAGCAGTTCAAAGGAAATACAGAAGTGATTGCGAAAGTAGAAGTATTCCTTCATGTGGATGATATTGTGAGTATCATCCTTGTCCTTCTTCAGAAGAGCATCAAGGATCTTCACTTCTACTAAAGCCTGGCTGTGAAATCTGAAATATCATATGACATGTTTCCATCAACTCAGACTAAGTTTATAGCAATACAAATGCTACAAACATCTTACTTTAATCTTACTTTAAACTCAACATGTGGGTCAATGATTAAAAGTTCACTATTCACCCCTGTTAACTAATGTAACTTTGATTCATTATGGTTGTTTCTTAGTCTAAATATATTTGCCTTATATGGCATTTAAGAGTAGTTATTTTGACTTGTCTGAAAAAAATATTTAAATTAAAAACAGTCTCAAATGAGCATCCAGAGTAAAACCCTAGTGCTTTCAGAGTCCATAGGGATGCTTCTGTTTAGTTGAACAGGACTGTATTTCACACCTACCACGCTTTTGAAGAGCATCTTTACATTTAATGTTCACTGAGGGGGAAAACTGAACATCATTCTCATCTGCTTCATTGACTCTTGTTCAGGCCAAACTCAACTAAAAATTTGTAAGCAGTCACATAACAAGAAGAGGTTGCTTAGGACCATGGTGTAGAATTTTTCATGTTAAAATGAGCATCTGAACCCTCCCAGCATATTCCTGTGGGTTTGGAGTCTTGGAGGGGAATGTAGGCCCTCAGCTCTCTGTCATGCAGTACTGGTTACCTGTGCTGTGTATTAAATATGTCACAGATAGAGAGACCTCCTTATAAGTCTGGAAAAACTGTGCCGGCTTTCATAGACTGTCCCTACACTGAGTCCAAGCCAATTCTGAATCCCTGACATCACCATTCTTCAGTCTGTTCTCACTGTGTTTAATGAAAGTCTGATGTACTGGGCCCTTCATTTTGCTTTGTTCACATTATCCCATATTGTCACTGTCTATATAACAAAGAGCAGATTGTACTGATTTAAAGCCAACAGATGTCTCACCTTTTCTTATTCCTTATTATTTTCAGTGCCACTAATTCATTGGTTTTATGATCCAAGCATTTAGCCACCTGCCCAAATGACCCTTTCCCAATCACCTCCAACACTTCATATCGGTATGCAATATGGTCATGTAAAACCTTCAAAAGAAAGCAAATAGTTCAGATTCAGAGAGTATGACAAAGATCAGCCTTTAAAATAGTTCATGTGTAAGTGAGTATACTGTCTGTGAAAGATGCTGGACTGGTAACAAGTGAAGTCTACATTAAACAAGGGTGACAGTGAAAATAACAAGTGCATGCTTCATTAATTCACCTACCTTGCATTAATCCTGAATGAGATGCAAAGTGGGTCTCTCTTTAGGATTCTCTTCTGAGCTTTAAAGTGATTTGTAATGATGTTTTCACTATGTGAATATTTATCTTCTAGAAACAACATTTATCTCACATAGATTACTTAAGAGTCACTACAAACTCATTGGGCTGAAAATGAATACCATATTTTTTCCACTTACCTTTAAGTAGGAACCATGCTCATCATCATAACAATTATTATTCTGGGTCTCAGGCAAACCTTCAATCTTTTTAGCTTCCAGCCCAAGAAACCATAGCTCTGTATAATTGAAAATTTCTTTTTGCTCATAGACTGTTAACTGGTTTCTAAAATTTTTCAAGGCTTCTAAATCAGGAAAAAAGAATATAAAACCAAAAATCAATAAAATGTCAGAAACCTGATGGCAAATTGCTTTTACAGTGGAACACTTTACAGCAGAGCATGCCACTTTGAGCAGGAGGTTGACTGTTAGCAGTTCCTTCCAACCAACATTTCTATGATACTACAATGTTGATATTTTGCACAAATTTATGTTTCTTTTTCTGATTTACAGTATTATGTTCAACAAAGCACTCATCATCTGTCAGAAAGATTTTTAAGAGAGCTTAGGTAAAAATTATTTGATTCTGAGCAAAGTTATGTACCTATATGTTTTTGAAAATCCCATCTGCTGCCTATCTGCTTCAGCAAGATTCATAACTTACACTTTAAAAAAAGTATGTTTTTATTTATTTGATTGTCATATCTATAAAATGGTAGTAAGTTTTAGTTAACCAAAGCTTATAAGTACTTGTTTTTTCTGATAGAAAATGTTAATTTCAGACGCATGAGGTTAGGAATTAAATGGGGCCCAAATCTGCTCTTCTCCCAGTTCTGATTCTTCCTGCAAAGAAAAATTTCAGCTACCCTAACAGCTTCACTTACATCATTTCACTCTGGATAAATAATCAGACAGTAACATTACAAATCAATGTGATTTCTAGGCATGCATGTGGGTGTTTTGTTAAACTGTGGCAGATCTTCATCCACTAACGCAGGGATGCTAAATCATTTCAAAGCAAAAGGCCACTACTTTTTTTTCCTAGACTCCTCCTAAAAATAGATTAACTCTGCCAGAAACTTTCTAGATCTGAGAACTCCCAAAATGCAATTTAGCCCACATAGATAAAATGTGACACAGCTACAAGCAAGTGGGAAAAGTGTTTTACCACTGTAATAGAATATTGCAGTCACCCACATGACCTGTCATAAGTCTTACATAAATATACATTCTTTTGTATAATGCATACTTCTCTAATTTATATATATTTCTATTATTCTATTCATGCTCCTATTGCTTACATCCCCAAGTCAGATTTTTAGAAATCACTGAGCCCATCCATATTCCTTTCCTCCAAGTTGTTTGTTAAATATTTTAGTGACCACTTAACATGGGACCTCTGGTCACTGAATGTCCTGACTGCATACACTCCCTATCTGTGTAGGTAGCCTGTCACTCCAGTCTTTTTAGCATGCTTTGTTGTATTCTACCTGAAGCTGTCATAGGCAGTTTGACACTGATGCTGGTGCTTTCCAGTTCTGATGGTTTTGTCTGGGCTCTGGTATCACTTTCAGGAAGACTGTCTGGAAGGTTAAATTGGCCTTTAGTTCCATTTTCCTGCCAAG